TACAAAAGCTCGTAATGTCTTTTAACTAATAGATCTATCGAAAAGTCTTCCTAAACAACACCTTATATTTTCTAGAATGTGACTCTACAATAGCAATAGCAATATAGTAAGAAGAAACTCTTCCACGACCACCTGAGATCATAGGTAGAGTTCAAATCTTCCTGAATTTTTATTATTAATTATAATAATTTTTATTATTATTAAATTCACTAAATAGCAAACAGCACCTTTACGAACCTTGTATTGGTTTTCCTATCTTTGTCTTTCCCTTCATTTTCCTACATTTTCCTTCAAACCAAACATAACCTAAGGGATTAAGACTTAAGACTGTTTTGAGTTAAAATCGAATGTAAAGATATATTCTGGTGCATTGCATACTAGCAAGATGAATGTACACCATGACTACCCATAAATCTATCCTAGGTTCTCTTTTTGGTTCTATGCTTTTAGAACCATTAGATCTACATCTACATGTTAATCTATGTGTAATAATAAGCCAATCATCAAAAACATTTTTTTTTTAAATCTAACCATTGTATGAGAGATTAGTATTATAGGGTGGTGTCGCATTGAATATAAGCATTTTCATTTAAAAGTTTCAGGTAACCGTGCCAGCACTAAGGGTGCAACTTGGGCTCATCCCTCAGGCCAGGCCCACTCAAAATTTGAAAGAATCCCAACCTGAGCCTACCAAGTTGCACCCCTACCCAATACCAAAGACAGTATTGCTCAAAACACTTGTTCAACGCCTAATCAACATAAGTACCAAGCAAACAAATTTTATGTCTAATGCTTGTTTGGGTGTTTTGACATGAAATGCCATTCATCTCTAAACATTTGAGGTTGAAGTAGCAATAATACCAAACACAACCTACATTGCTTCTCCATTGAGCATAGGTTGTTTTACTTTTAGGTTAGCACTATATGGGAAATTTAAGAGAAAAATAAAATCAAATAGTTCCATTAATTGCTTATTTGTGAAAATATATAAATCAGTTCAACCATAATTTAAGGAATAATTCTTCGATTACATTCAACTTATTATTAATTAAAGGGCATTTAATCATAAGTATTATTAGAAAACAAATTAGCAATTTGACATTGGTTCATTGTCGCTGTGCGCTGTTCGGTTTGGACAGCTACCGTGGGCTTGTCCCTTGTGGGCAGAAACCTGTCTCATGGTTACAGAGAATACCCAAGGAAACTTGGCGACGCTTTTGGGCCCCCAATCATCTTACCAATTGGAGGCCCAAGGTTGTCTCCAACTTTAGGTGACATCTGGCTATGCTGGTGAATTCACTGGAGACTGGACCCACTAGACATAAAGGGACGGCCTAAACCGGAAGCCCCCACAATCAGGATTCTAAATCCACGAACCAAAATCAGAAATCTATTCTAGGGAGGTATAATTCACAGCCTTTTGGGCTTGGGCCTAACCTAGGCCTTAATGGTCCGCAGAGGGTGGCGAGGAAAAGAATTGGACCATTTGGGTTTGGGCCGCGTTCTGTTGATTGCGACAATTGGATCCCTGACTTGTAAAAGAAATTCAATGCCTAATTTGCCATTAAACAAATATTTAAAGTACAAAAAAGTGCACCATTAGATGCATGCATTGCATAGCCAATGCACTGGACGTTAATCGGGAACGCCTGAAATTTCCAACCGTCTGTTCCCGGCGGTGAAACGACACATCCCCTCCGGCACCTGCCAACAACGCTTCAAATTTGGAACCATGTCCGAACAGTCGCGAACGCTTTTCAATCTTCCCCTACATATTGATGGGCCAGGTTTCTGCACGGACCCACAACACTTCTGCTCAGATCTCTGCAACTACAGCCAAGTCCCTACCAGTCAATTTTCAATTTTTCATGGATACACTGGCATCTTTGCTTGCTTTCCACAAGGTCGAGAGGGAAGTCTTCCGCCGACTGATCGATATGGGTCTAAATCCGCAGGTAGCCAGAAACATAATCTGCCTTTGGCTATGGCTGGAAGAGATCGGATTCTATGACATGGTGAGACAAATCTCCATTCAAAGCAATGAATTCTTGGCCCTGGTTGCAGCCGAAGCCGAGGCTGCATTTACGTTCATCGAACCAGACGGAATGGCGCCTACTGCGTACGTTCGCCTCCCACTCACTTCCCAACTTGCCAACACACCTCTGTCTCTCAATTACTTCTCCTTGGTCAAGAGGGATGCCTTTCATGGGGTTTCTAACACCCTGAACCGAGTCGGCAATATAATCTTCAACGACATCTTGGAGGAGAGAGGACGTGTTGATACAGGGAATGGCGGAGCGATGGCTGGTGCACAAGCAGAGATGACTAGTGCTAGCGCTGCGCAACTCATGGGGCGGACACAGGTCTGGCCGTTTGGAGAGGGTACGAACGGACTAGGCAGCGGCGGGATTGGTAATACTGGTTTGTTCGAGGTTTCTGGTCTGTTCGGCATGCCGACTACGGGAGACGGTACGAGCCAACAAAAGCCCGAGCATGTTGCCTCCGGCTTGCCGGGGATTCCTGGGTTTGAAATGTGGGTAAGGCCGCCAGCTGCTGCCATTTCCACCCCCGCAGGAGCGGAGAGACTGGCAGGTGGGATGCTGCCTCTGACAAGGAACGAAGCCATGGACTTTAATTTCTCTAGGTACGTACTCGTACTACTGTAAAGCCATTTATTCATTTTCTCGTTCTCTTCATGGGACGATGGAGTGTAAGTTTCTGTATGTGTTTTGTGGTTGCAGCATTAGGTACGGGAGGGAAAGCTCAGAAAGCGTGTATGTTGATGAAGCGAAGCAGGGAGAGGGACCAGTTGTTTCTACGACAGTGTCTGTTAATGTAACGTCAATCGTGGAGGGGAATGAGAAAGAAGAATCGGACGTCGCCGGCAAGCCGGGGTGGTGCAACACTAGGTTTCAGACGAGGAACTAGCTAGCGTAGTGATAAGATTGCTATAGAGTTCTGAGTTTTCCAATCCCCATCTCTCTGTTTTCTTACTCTTCATATCCCAATTTCCCAAACAAAAATAATAAATGAAGGAAGCGATGAATAATATATATTTGATGTTCTATTTCGCCCACACATATAAGCGTAATTCTAAATGAAAATCGGGTATTCGGGTTGCCCAGACTCCAAAAATATTTTTCTATTATTGATTCTGTGGGTGATCATTGGTTCAATGTTTCCTTTCACAGATTATTAAATAAACGCTAGAAAATTGAAACTCATGAAGCATTTGGGAAACGTCAAGTTCTACAAATTCTAGTTTCCACATAACACTTGGGCATTTCTTGAAATAAAATGCTAATGTAGCATATTTTAAGCTGTGTTGGAAAGTAAGTTTATGGGCTGTTACTTAAAATGCCCGTAACCCCAGCCAAATAGAAAAAATAAAAAGCGTTTAAAACATCATTTTTCAGATAAACACTCCCTCAATAAATGCACATGAAACCAAACAAATACTAAAAAGGTGTTGAAACATTTTTAAAAATAAAATAAAAATAAATATTCTCAAATGAATATACAAACAATTCCTAACAGCAAGATTCAAAGTATCGGGCATTAGCATGGCCTAGCATTTTTTTCGGGCATGTAGTGATGAGGGTGGATTTGGCCCTCCAATGATATTGTGATACATGGTGACACTTGGAACCACTTAGGTAATAACTTGCCTTAGCCAAGTTGATGGTGTCCCACCGGGCGGCCTGGCCCAGGCGTGAACTAGTGGCCTGGCCTTGGTGCGACCTGGCGGCCTAGCGGCCTAGCACAGGCGCTGACTTGGCAACTTGCTAGACGTGCTCATCGACAAATTCAGCATGCATATCCTAACACTCCCACGATCCTTGGAAGTTGGCCCACGTACCGAACGATCCGAAGGGTGGCGGTTGCCTCCGAGAATCTCGGACCACTTAGACGACCTCTCAGAAATCTCGGATGCAGTGCGTGAAGCCCACGCCAAACAATGCCTATATAAAGGCACCAACCCCAATGGCATAAGGGAGGCAAGTAAGCATATTTTAGCTCTCATACTTTGTGATTTTTAGCTCGTAGTCTACTATGAGAGTACTGACTTAAGCATCGGAGCAATCTTGCCGGGTTAGCCACCTCGGGTCCTCTGACATTGATTCATTGCAGGTCTCTAAAGAACTACGAAGTTCAACAATCAATCCAGCTCGACCCTCTGGTCAGCTCGACAACTAATAGGCAGCTCGGCCCTCTGGTCAGCTCGTCACCTAACTTGCCTAGCTCAGCCCAGTCAGTTCGGCACCTAACTTGCCCAGCTTAGCTCAGTTAACTCAGCACCTAATCTGCCCCCAGCTCGGCCTGGTCAGCTCGGCATTCAGGTCCTCATCCAACAAAAGTTCACTTCAGCCTCTAAGTCAACGACCACTTGGAAGCAGACCAAATGACGAGGTAGTTAGCACAAAAAAAATTGATGCATAGCCAAAAAGGTGTTGAAACATTTTTAAAAATAAAATAAAAATAAATATTCTCAAATGAAGATACAAACAATTCCTAGCAGCAAAATTCAAAGTATCGGGCATTAGCATGGCTTAGCATTTTTTCGGGTATGTAGTATTATCTATGGGTACCAGATACATGGGAGAAAACAAAGTGAAACTTGTTTGATCTCTAATGCCATTAAGCACATACATGGGCCTTGGGCCAGGTGTGGGCGTTATCTTGGGACTAGCATTTTTTCTTTTTCTTTTTTTTATTTCCTTCATTGGGCTAACAACGGTATACCCATTCCAATTCCAACCTGGTGGTAGTGGGTATGGATTAGGTGTGCAAGTTGGGTGGATTTGGATTGGGCTTCTGTCAAATTTGAATGGGCCCGGCCCAAAGCTCGAACCCAAGTTACACCCCTAGATTTGATCCCAAGTGTTCGCTACAAACAGCCAGATCCGGACAAGCATGTATGTGTCGGGATCTGCTGACGACAAGATGCTGTGCACAGAACAGTGATACACTGCGTAAAGTACAAGATGGAAACTCCCCAATCCCCATCTATATGGGATACTGGCAAGCAGGAAAGCAACACTGCAGCAGTTTCCGAGTGTCACCAAACCCCCTTCTCCTGTTTGTTGAAGATTAGTCTTCGGAGTTGAAAGTAGAAGAACAAGAGTGAGAAATGGCCGGACATGAAGAGTTCGTGGAGGCAGATAACGCTGAAGCTATCATCACAAGAATCGAACACAAGTCCCGGAAGATCGAAAGCTTGCTCAAACAGTATGACTTCAGCAAAACCCAATTTCCTCTTCATACTCTCATTAATCTCAGTTCCCTTTTTTATGGGCACTAATTTCATTTCTGTACGTAAGGTCTAAACCAGTTGAGGCCCTCAAAACAGCTCTTGAAGGATCACCTCCGAAGACCAGAGATGAGAGATGCAAGGTTTTTTCTTTTTGTCCTTTTTCTGATTTTTTTAGAAAAGTTCTTTAATTAACTTTATCTTGTGATGAAGAGAAATAGAGAATTGGGTTGATGAGTCCTTTCCTTTTTTTTTCCTTTTCCCCTTTGTTTGCAGTCTGCAAACTGGATAGTTGTGCATCGTGCAATAATGGCTATAAAAGATGTCGATGGGATGTTCTCCTCTTTGGATCCCGAGTACTACGACATCCTCATGAAGTAAGTCTATTTCTTCTTGGTTCTTTCTATTTCTTATTTATATCCTGAATTTCTCCTAATTTGTAGTTTTCTACTTGTCATGGGAATCTCTACTGTTTATGGGTAATTATACTTATTATCTTCGTTTTCTATTTAAAGCAGAATTATTTTGAGCTGGTCTCTAGAACACAACAATGTGATACGTAATAAGGTTTAAATAGTATTAGGTCCTACTGTAGGTTATTTTGTTGCAGTGAAGAAAAGAACATCTGCTAATGTAAAAAGGAGAGAAATCTTGAAAAGCTACCTTTCATCAACGCAGATGATTTTAAAGAGTAGTTCTTAGACCTGACATACCGCGGTTATGCTTACAGTCAATATTTTAATTCAACCACCAGGGATACTTGCCATTTAGATAAACGTTTGCACTTGGGGTAGTCGCCTATATGAGTATGTTGGAACAGGGAGGTGAGTGGATTACCGAAAGATTTCTGCCTGTTGTGCCAGTTTTCATGGATTCTAGAATATAGTTAGTTTCATGTTGCCATTGTGAATTGGAGAAGGCTTCAAGCTTACTATTATTCTTCAAACTCTCCCTTAATGAGTAATTTCTGGTAGCCATGTTTTCTATATCCTGAAATTCATTGATGGTGATTTGACATTCCATGAATTCTTGATGGACAACTCAACATAACATTTTCCTCTATCTGCTTGCTTATTTGACATAAATGGATTGCTAATATACACAATGGATGCCATTTTTTCTTCTTGCCAAATCAGACTCCCAGACTCATGTTCAATTTTGAATCAATGGCCTATGTTTTTTGATCAATTCGAGTCCAGATCTGCTGACCACAACACATTGCTGGCCACGCTCATCCAGCCACGCGTCAAGAATATTAGTGATGTAAAGTACAACCAATGTTCCAGATGTGCGGCTGGGTGAACGTGGCCAGCAATGTGTTGTGGTCAGCAGATCTGAATTCATTGAATTGTGACAGGACAGATTTGATAAAATGATTCTCTGTAACTTCTCTGTTACAGATTGTGTGATGCATTTAGAACTCATCAACAATGTTCAGTTATGTGTTGGTTACAATAAAAAAGAAATAAAAGAAATTAAAAAAAAGAGATAATACAATAACTGAAATTAGGATAATGATTATCCCAACAGTGCATAGGTCATGCGCATTTCCTCAAGGGTGTTCATGTGCACTCTCACAAGCCTACATGTTATCACAAGAAGCAACATCAGTTATCAACTCCTCATTAACCCAACCACCAACCACAAATAGTCCAAATTTTCTAAACTCGCTTTGGTGTATGTTAGGGTGCACTTCCAATTACAATGGAACACATGTCACCTATGCACGCACTCTGGTTGACATGTGCAAAGATTTTAAGTGGAAAGCTCGGCCCTATTAACTTCCTCCTTCAACGTTTCTTTTTCTTTAAAATTAAAAAAAAAGTGAGGATTAGTTGAAGGAGAGAAACAAAAGGTATTATAATATATGTAAATCTGAATTAAACTTAAGACTGGAATCTAAAAAAGAAACTAAGGCTATAGTTCAATTATAAATTATTATCCAGAACAAGTATGGGATGAACACCAACATCACACTCTCCAACCCTTGGAGGGATATTCTCTCATATACAATCTTTTCATTCCTTTCATTGGGTATGATCTTGGTGACAGATTCTAGTCTGACCTTTGGTGGGGTATTGAGCTTCTGAATATTGCTTTCATAAGATTTTATTTATTTATTTACCTACTGCAGAGTATGTTGTTTTCTCTATCCTGTTGGGAAGACCATAGTTTATCATGAAACATCAACTTTGAAGGCCAATCAGGGGGGAGAAAGAGGAAGTTGTGATGTAGGACCAGTTTAGTTTTTGTCCTTAGAGAATGTTGAATGCTTCTTTGATCAGAATATTATGGTTGTTGATGGCTGTAATGGCTTCTTGAAGGAATAAGAGAGAAAATAGGAAGAGAAAGAAGAGAGAAAATACCTGAAATCACTCACAGGGTTCCTAAGCTGAAGAAAACCCAATAAACTCCATTGCCTATTGTGTAAAGCATCCATACATATTTATAAACTCTATACTCAATAATCCTAGGAGTCAACTGCTAGACTCATAATAGTCTTAGGAGTCAAACTATCCTATTTCAATTCAAAGAAGACTCAATAACTCTAATCCTACTTATGCAATGACTCTGAAATTTTAAACATAAAAAAACTATAAATAGATAATCAAGCCCTATTATTGGACCCCACAGAATTTTGCAAAATGAGAAAAATACCCCTACTGTCCAAAAATATAGAAATACATAAATTTTCATAAAATTCCAATTTTGACTCTTCATCTCTTGCATTAAGTTGCCTCTTTTTTTATTCTCCCAACTTCCAAGGAGGTTTTACCTCTCCATATCTACTCTTGATAGATACATTTGGGGGCCTTCACCCTTTGGGACCTGTTCCACGAAACCCTTCTACCATACTCTCATGCAAATCCTGCAGTATCTACTTTTATTGAGAAAAGACTGGCATTATTTCTCCCACCTAAAGATTCCTTCTTTTGAGAAGCTATTTACAGGAAAGATAAGCACATACGATTTGTTTCAATGGAAAAGATCAGTCACCACTACATCTTCCCCTACGTGTGCATTATGTGCCTTTAGGACAGGATACTCACTTTGTCCTTCACCATGCAGTAAATGGACAGTTCTGACACTTTCTTTTAGGTCTAACTGAACTTGATTGTGTAGCTTCTAACAACATCATACGCATATTATATATTAGAGAGGGCACAGGGTTTGGTGTTAGGAACAGAAAACCTTCAATGGCTTTTTTTTTCTTTTGGCAGCAATATGGAGTTACTGGACCAAACGACAGTTGATACATGTTGAAACATTCTTGAGATGTTTCAGTGCTCCCTAGGCCTTCAAGGAGGGTTGCTCCTCCCATCCCCTGCCTTGTGGAAGGGTAGATTAGCCTTAAAGTTCAAATTTGCAAATGCATCTCATCTTTGGCTATTGAAGCTGACTTGGCTAATGCGATTCAATGTTTTCTAAAGGTAGGCAGCAGACTAATGGTGCATAGAAGACTTGCTTAATGAAATTGAAGATTACTTGGGGATCTTTTGTATAGCAACAGCTCCACTTCCACATAGTGTATTTTAATACTTGGGGATAGTAAATTTAACTAATAGCAAGTTCTTTGCTTCCTTGTGCTCCTCTCCGCTGCCTCAACCTTTTCATAACAAGAAAGTTTGGTCCAAACCTGTCCCTCCAAAAGTGGGAGCCCTTTGTTGGGAAGTCTCCCTTGGAAAAATCAACACTTTGGATGTTTTGCAAAAAAGAAGACAGTCTTTGTATCTCTCCCAACTGGTGTACCCTATGCAAAGCAAATGAAGAAAGTTGCTACCATATACTAATCACTTGCCCTTTTGTCGTAGGCCTTTGGGAAAAGCTTTTTGATCTTTTTGGGTGCAGGTGGACAGAACTGGAGCATATTTGCAATCTTTTTGACCGTACAACGTTCAGGTGGCCAAAGATAAGAGGAAGAGTTTTGTGGAGGTGTGCTAGAGCTGCTTTGGTGTGGACTGTGTGGGAAGAACGAAATGCTAGAGTCTTTAATGACAAGGAGAGGGATTAGACATGTGTGTTAGAAAGTATTTTATCTAGGGCCATAATCTGGGTAAAATCCTTGGACCTGTTCTCATCCTACTCTTTTGATGATATAAGTAGGAATTTGAAGCCTCCTGATGTAGGTTTCATTAAATTAAGTTTTGATGGCAGTAGTTTGGGCAACCCGGTGCCATCTGGAATAGGGGGAGTCTTTAGAAATGCTGAGGACCAGATTGTAGCTCTATTTTCTGGTCCTATAGGGATGGGAGATTCAGTCAATGCAGAACTCCAAGCTGTGATACAAGGAGCAGAAATTGCATTAGAGTTGGCAGTGGAGATGGCAGCCTGGCCTTATAGGGGGGCTTTGAGAAGATTTAAGTGGCTAACATTAAGTCTCTCAGTCACAGTTCAATGGGAAAGAAAATCGGCAAATGGGCTGGCAGATTTCCTAGCCAAACAAGGAGTACATAGGAATCAGCTCTTTTGGGCTCAATTGTAAGCTTTATGATGTAGTTTGGAGGCTGCACCTCGTGCCTCTTTGTGGGGAGTTGTATGATGTATACTATTTTTTTATTCTATTTAATAAAATTATCATTATCTATCAAAAAAATTAACTAATAGGAGGGGAAATGCCATATTACAAACTACAAGATAGAGACATTAGGTTGATTACAGATGCAATTTAATTTTATTGTTTTATTATATTTTTGGATGACCAAAGAGGTCAAATTGGAAAAAATGGTTTATTGGTAGACTAGCAAAGCAGTCTTTGATATCCAAGAAGCGAAGGTGATAAAAATAATGACATAAGAGGTTGAATATGATGGTTAAACCTGGGGACACAGGATTAACATTTGGGTATGGAACCCTCGTTACTTGCCTCCTATCCCATGTTATGAGCATTGGAATCCCACCATCAGATTGGGTTGGGCTTAAAGGATCATCTTGGCTAAAAATACAACTTATATAGATTATAGAAGGTTACAATCTTCTGATATTACTGCTTTTTAATGGACAGTGGAGAAAGTCTTTTATGGCAGTTAAGGGGATGCCAGATTGCCAGATCTGTAGATGATGCTATGTTCCCAGACCCCACATCAAAAGGCATTCCCTGGTTCTGCTCATATTTTCCTCCATGTGGTCAGCTACATGAATCTTTTTTTTGCCACTCTGCTCAAGAAAATGGAAACTGATTTCGGTAGAGAAGTAGATAGACTTGAAGACCAAAGTTCACAGATTTAATAAATAGAGGGAAAACAAAAACAAATTTCCAGCAATTTGAATTCCACTCCTCCATTTGATTTACAGTTATTGTTTCAACTATGCTATGATCATTATTGCATGCATATGATACAGGAGTGATAATCTAGTGCAGTTATAGGAGCTTAACTGGGCTAACTAATTGCGGCCAAAAAAAGGGCTAGCTAAAAAATATGGATGTAGGGAGATGCCCAAATAGCACCCCTGAAGTATTTGATAATTACTTAATGTACCCTTTAGGTTTGAATACTTAAAGACCCTTAGTCCAAAGGACCAGAGAAGCCCACTGATTTGAAATTTGAGAGGTGAGGTGCCTTCTTATTGTTTGATGTCTTCAACGTCTACCCAGAAAACAGTAACAGAGTATGTTTGTTGTATTGCCACTGTTGTCTGAACCAATAGGATTGGTTAAATTTTGTCATTTGATACTTACCACAATCATAAATTTAAATGATTGAAGAACACTGAAAGCCCTGGATCTGTGTGTAAGGCATTTGGCTTCATAAAATTATCAATAAAATCAACAAAAACTCTCAACATGATTTTGGCTTTGCAAAGAAGATTGGCCAAAGCTTTATGACTCTATGTTACTTGTTCACAAAACTTGCTAATAGTGGAATTTTTAAAACCAGAAAAGCTTAGGGGTTTCACATTCAATCTATAAGTCGCTTTTGGCAACCCTGTTGTAGTGGAGGAGAGGAAGATGAAGGGGAGAAGGAAGGAGGAGGAGGAGGAGGAGGAGGAGGGGAGAGAGAGAGGGAGGGAAAAGAGCTCTATCACCGCTTCTCCGTTTTGGTGGTCTGTGTTTAAAAACGGAGCAAAGAATGCCTTTGCTGTCAAATTGATTATAAAAGCTCCATTGCAGCTTCTTTCACAAACTCAAAAGAAAAAAAAAAATTCTGCTCGTTGAACATCGAAGCTCCTGCTCTGTGCTCTATTTCTGACTCCCTCTTTTTTTATCAGCAAGTTAATTTCATTTGTTAAATTGAAACAGAGAACAAGTGTATATCTACTCGGTGCTAAGTTTATTTGCTTAGCTCAAGAAATGACCAAGAGTGAATCTCCTTCTACTTCCAAATCCCTAACTTCTAGACACTGCTAGTTTCAAGCCTTGCAAAAGAGTCATGACTCCTCCCTCTTCTCTCATTTGTTTTTAATCGTTTGAAAAATGGTATGTTTTTTTATCTATTATGGGTACCAAGCTTCATTACAGAACTTGCCCTTGCTGCCAGAGAAGAGGTTCCCAGCCATACGCCTATACAAGATCTGAAAAAATGTTCAGTGTGGATGTTGAATATGTTCTGCAGTCCTAACTCTTAAGACAAAAATTGATAGAATAGAAGGGAAACAAGATCTTACAAATGAATGTGTTAAAAAAATTTGTAATTTTGTCTAGAACGTGGAATGTTAAACCAATAAGAGGAGGCCCACTCATTGCAGCAATGGTGATGAATGGTGTTTGAGATGGTAATTCAATATTCTTAATGATGGTGGCTTTGATCGGGAAGCTATTGATGGAATCCATATAAATAATGGCGATGTCCATTTGGGCATGAGGAGGTAGCCTATGTCTTTGAGCTCTATTAGTTATTTCCAGTGTTGACCTTTCCTTCAGTTTCTTCTCCAATGGTGCCCACTTTTCCATTAAATTATTTGAAATTGATTTTTGAGAAGGTACATTTCGAAAATTTGAAGAATAGCAAGGAGAAAAACAGTCTTTTTGTCCAATTTAACAGCCCAAGGTAATGGAAAATGAATTTCTAAAACCTCAGGGGTACTTGAAGTAGTTAACCCAAAAGAGTATAGGGGCCATTACTTGGTGTAATGATAAAATCTCAGGTGGGCAAGCCGGATAACGCAGCTTCGAGCTTGCAGTCATGATTTCGTACTAACTTTGCTCTCTCCTCTACTAACCCAATGAACCAATTTCAACCAGTGTTTTAAGACTCAGATTGGATTGGACGGTTGGACCAGTCAACTCAAGAACTGGAAGGGATTCCTGTTTTTTAGAATCCCAATTTTCATTTTTCTGAAAAACTGATAAAACCAGTCAAAACCCAGTAGAACCGTTGAAAACCAGTTGGGTTTCAACGACCCAGCCAGTTTTCACGACCGCTCAGATCACTTTAGTGTTAAAATTTTAAAATGGTGGTAAGAAGTAGATTCAAATCTGGGTTCTCTTAATTACATGCATTAGCATTAAACCATCAACCCATCTTTTTTTTTGTGCTTACTGTTGCCCCCTTTAATACACACACACACTAATTAAATACGTGTATATTCTGAAAAATAAATGCAAATTGAAAGATTTGAACCCTTGTCATATATATCAAAAAACAACACTTTGACCATCTATCTGCCACTTACAAGTCTATTTTGTCTTACAAAATCTACTGTATATAATTGTTACGTGACTTGCCATCAAATTGTTTGACCAGTGGTCAAATTATTTGACCCATGACCCAGTAAGCATTTTGATTTTGTGTCTGTCTTACAGCACTGATTTCAACTGTCCCTCATCATGTGACAAGAGTCCTAACTGGTATACTTGGTTGAAAAATATCTATTTTTTAGGCATAAATCCTTTCCAGAAATAAAAACAATATCTATCTATTCTATTTCTTTGTGTCAACCAGTAGGAAAGAAAATAGCAAACCAAGAAGAAAATAGAGAAAACACCAAGATTTAATGTGATTTGGCTTGCGAGAAGGGGGAAAAAAATCCACTATGAGAATAAGAGATACAAGGCGTCCACTCTCACTCAACCCTAATCCCACACAACCATTGGCTTAAATAAGCAAAAGACCAAATTATATCAGAATTACACAAAGCCTCTCTTCCTCCCATAAATACATACAAGTCCCCAATATTAATCAACATTACAAATATATCCTTGTAACCTCCAACACTCTCCCTGCAATAAAACCCAAATACAACCGATTACAATATTATCTCTCTACACCCTCCCTTAAACTCAAGGTGGGGAAACCAGCTTAAGTTTGCAAGTAAGGATGTTGGAGTAACCTCCATGAAAATAGGTATACTGTTGAAGCAGCAACCATGAAACTTGAGACCAAAGTTCTGTGTTAGAAAGCTGAATGAACTCATATCGGAAAGCCAAAATAGAGCCAAGTCATGATTTAGTAATCACCAAATTGAACTGGCCAATGAAAACAGGGGTGGAGCCAGGGGAGCCATGGCCCCCCTTTGATCCAGAAATCCCCACTATAATACAATATTCCATGTAAATTAGCCCTCTCCCCCCACTTCCCACCTATTCCTGAATGGAAAGCCAACACATATCATGCCAAAGAATGGTTACCACTTGATGAGGCCATGTGAAAGTGAAAAATGGTCACTACACTTTATTCGAACACAAATGGATCTTCACAAACTTACTAACAGTCCATCAATGCACTACAAACTACCACACACTTTACCACATTGAAGACTGAACACAGTTGCATCTACGACTTCTTGCATGACTACACACTTACCACCAAAAAAAAGTCTTTTTACTTGAGAAACTAGGATAGCATTACACACTTACCACCAAGATATCACCACATCACAAAACTGCCCTCTTCGATCTGCCGAGAAGAGGGACCTTGGAAAAACACCACCAACACACAAAACACTGCAACCTGAGGCATTAAAGCCCCTTTCACACTTACTGTTAACAGTAATCGGTTATTAATAATAGTGGTCGATTGTTAACTGTAATAGTCGATTGTTTTAATAAGCAATCGGCTCTTGGACAAGAAAAGGAACTTATGCAGAAAAAAAGCTTTACCTCCCCAACATTTAAAACAATGTCTGTTGTAAGCTCGGATGTGACATATCTGATACAACTGCCATCAGCTTTAAACACACCTGGCTTCGATCCCAACTTCATAAACTTCATCTCCCAATACCTAGAATACAAAACCCAGAAAATCCACTGAAAATCCACTGAAAACAACCCAAAAATCTGCCTATAAAAAAAAACCACCTTTGAATTTCAAAAACCACAATTCTGACATCACTATTGAACCCACTCTCAAGTTTCTCCCCAATCAGATCAGATTTCCTTGCAGGTTGCTTCACTGATTCAAGCACCACAGACCTCATGTGAACAGTAACTCGATTGCTAGTCTTCCTTGGTTCATCAAACTAATTCCCACACTAAACTTGTTCTGATACCATATCAATCAACAGGAAAGAGAATGGTAAACCAAGAAGAAAATAGGAAGAAGAAAGAGAGAAAGCACCAAGATTTAACATGATTCAGCTTGGTAGTCTACATCCATGGGAAGAGAGGGAAAACATCCACTATGAGAATAGATACAAAATGCCCACTCTCACTCAACCCTAATCCCATACAAAATGTCCCAAATACTTATCAACATCACAAATATATCCCTATAACCTCCAACATTCTCCCTAAAAGAAAACCCAAATACAATATCTCTCTCTACACTCCACAACCTCTTCTCTTTTCTTTTTTTACCTGTTCACTGAAACTTTAATCCCCTTTCTGATTTTCTTCTCTCTTTGCACACTTAGGTATCGTGGGCTTTGCTAAAGAAACAAACATTGACGTGCACCCTGATACCCAAGCATGATGAGACCATATTGATCACAAATTAGTGTCATTGAGAACCGTGGCAGTTCATCAAGAACAATGGACTGCCATCTTAAGATCCATAACTTTGTACAGGTAACTTCTTCATGTTTGCATTTGGCAATTGTTTAGCCTAAGAGCTAAATGCCATGCTTCCAGAAATTTTGGGGATGATCAGGGGTGATTTGAGTAGTGATGGTATTTTTTACCATGGATTTGAAGAGAGGGAAAAGAAGAAATTTTAAAATTAAGCTTCATATCTACAAGTAAAAACAACGGTAGCAATGGCGTTTTTAATTTACTTGCATTGGTTGGCTGGTCGAGTCTGGGGGCCGCCACTTAACTATTATCTGAAATACCTTACATTATGTTAGGAAAGGAATTGTTAGAAACCACTAATCTAGTCTTCTTTTTTTTAGTTTTTTTGGTATTACATATTACACATTACAAGGGATCAAGGGGCTGGGACAAAGGAGGGGAACGTAAGGCTCAGTTTGGAAAGAGTACAAATACAAATATGTACAGTACAAAATACATACAAAATAATTAGAGGTTTTGCAGTCTACATATTTGTATTTGTACTCCTTCCAAACTGAGTCTTAAGTCCACTGACCTTACCAGAGAGCCTGCAGTTATGCGGGTTTTATCAACTCTTGTTCCATTCACAGGGTTTTCCTGATATGAAGAGGGAGAAAACTTGTGTTCTTGTTTTGGGATTGAAAAAATGGATGCAGGACAGTTATTGTACAGGAGATTTGATTGGCACTATCTGCCAGTCGGTGGATTCATAACCTTTGACCTGTAGCACATGTATGGTGGAGTCTGGCACCTAGGATTATTTGTATTAGTTATTTCGTTGCATATTTACATTTTCTAAATCGCTTCTGCAGGTACTTGTATAGAGGTTTGGCTACTGGAGACCGTCCTACATGTGACCAATGCCTACGGATCCATGAAAAACTAACAGAAAGAGCTGGGCTGGGATGCATATTGCGCGCCCTTGCTGACACTGTAAACACTGTTTGAAAGCTTCCCATTTGGTATTTTGAAGATGTTGTAGATAAGCAACCCATGTGCGGTGATATGCTCCTCACAGTTTGTAGTTATGAAAATCTCTGTTCAGTCCTTGTTACAACTGTTTGTATTAAAACAGGCTACAGTTTGAAGGTTGTTGGATCCGTAGAAAGAACAAATTAAGGAAACATTTTATGAAATAGTTTTGAAGTTAATGTTTCAGATTTTCAGTTGGCTTTATTTGGTCAATGACATTATAAAATACCAATTCCCTTTGTTTTGGATTTTGTAGAGCCTTTTTATTCTCTTTGTGATTCAGCATTGACACAGCATGGACAAAATTACACACAAAAATTGAGGTGGCTGACACGGACATGGGACCTTTTCTGAAGTATTAATGTATCATAGCTGTACCATGTATTCCAATTCTGAGTTCAGTTGTCTTCAAAACAATTCACATGCCTTATTTCATCATCAGTAGTAGTGGTTCTTTTCAACCCGCCTCCCTATCCACTTGGCTTTGCAATTTGCAGGTCTGGGTTCCCCAATTTCAAGTCAGCTTAAGTAGGGCCGGCCAGAGGTATGGGTTTGGGCAGTTTCGAAATTGCTTTCAATTGAACTTTCTGTCCCGCCGGACACCCCACCCACTCCATTCAATCTAGAGTAAGCTGGATCTAATTCCCAACATGGGTTTTGTTCAATCCATGCTTGAATTCCAATCCGACCCGGATCAAATACCTACAAGAAGAAAAAGCCAATAGAACTTGAGTTTAAAGCAGTGATCATGAAAGGTTGCTTTAATGAGTCCGACACTATCCCGTTTGAGATCTACCACTGTTTTCTTGCATCATGTTACTTGAAGCTCACGAAGGAAAAGGTGATGTGACATGAGGAAGGTGTGGATCCGACACAGTCCTACCAAGAACAGGAAGGGTGTTGGTGGGGGTGGAGTCAATAATGGAAGGAGAGGCTCACCAATCTCACCCACCCTACTTTGTCTCTGTGTGTTTCCTCTTTGCGGATAATATCAACTTTAAATCGGTGAATGGACCGATCTCCCAATCATTGCCCCTGTTTAGCTCATTCCTAAATCCTACTTGCTTTAGCCTTCAGGAAATTGGAGTAAATATGCACGACTACCCATACTTGGTAATGGCTACTTGCTGTGCTGGCTCATCGTACTTCGTTTTTCACCTGTACACAGATGCTTGCTTTGCTGTATTAGACTGAACCCCATATCATAAAAGCGATGGTGTGAGTCACTTGATGTTGCAGTTGTACCCATCGAATCATGGCCATTTATCATCATTTCAAGTTTATCCTCCACATGAAATCATCTTTTTTCTTTTTTTAGTAAAAGTGATGAAATCATCTTGATTGGTCACTAAGTAACACTCAATAGACATGTTTTTACCAGGTTCTGTATTTTGTAATCATGGCCGGTGGAAATTCTCAAACCTTCTCTTTTTGTGTTCTTCTCTTTATCGTTCTTAATTTTTTTTTTTCTTTTTAGTTAGCAAAAAAAAACATCAGAAAACATTGGAAATTGATGAACAGGGGTTAGCATAAAACATAAAAGAGGGAAGATAAAAAGAAAAAGAAAAAGAAAAAGAAAAAAAACACAGAAGAACCAAAAAGAAAAAGAAGTCCAAGAAGATTTAGACAGGATACAGTGGTGATTGGGGGGAGAGAGAAGGGAAATGGGGATATGATGTAGAATCCAAAGAAACAGAAGAGGAAGAGGAAGTAATGGCCACATGCAAGGGAATTGGGAGCCAAGTAGCTAACCCTGCCATCCCCCACGTGATAGGTTCCCCATATTGGTCTTGGACATCTCCTCCCACACCCACGTGATGGCTTTCTCCATTATTCAAACAAATCCACCAGCGCATGGGTTCACTGGTTGGCCTTGTTTATAGACCCTCCTCCCCTTCCCTTTATTAGTTATACCCAGGACCATACAAATAAATAAAAGAAAGAACTTGGAATAAATCATATGGTTGAGATTTCAGGCTCACGTGGAATGTTCCCTCGTATCTTATGGGGGACCAACGGTTGGGGGTTAAAGGTCATACCAACTGTCGGAAGCAAAGACGTTTTTGTATAACCCCTTGATTCTTTTACTAAACTCTGAGCTCTTATTCTAGTTGTGGTTAACTTTTGTCGATTGCAATTTAAAAGACCTCTGATTTGCGCTGTGTCCAAATCCAAATTTTATTAATCGAAGCGACGTTACTTTCTTTTTTACTTTTTTTCTATTCTTTTAGATTACTATCAAGTATTAGCCTCTGATTATGGAACTCGCTAGCCAGCTATGGTTTCGATAATAAACTATTAATTAGTAATAAAAATAATTGAATCAGAACCCAAAGAATCCGAGATTGGGAACCAAAGCAAACCTATCAAAACATGTTTATCATGTGACTTAGATTCAAGTTGGGTATGATTGAAACGGAAGAAAGAGAGAGATCCAAGCTGGCATCTACCATCATCATCTTTGTTTTTTAGTCAATGTAACCAAAGAGCTTAAGTTTTATTATCTGCCTAAACATTATAATATATGTAAAAAGGGTCATGGTTCAAGAGCACCAACATGGACTAGACAATAATCTTTCTGGTCATTGATAGAGTCCGATTTTATGTCCCCACTAAATTCTCCTGCAATCTTACACAACCACAATAAAACAAACCAAATAATTGTAATTTATAATCCATGATTTTTTTCTTTCATTGGATGAACAAACTTGGATGAGACGAAAAATGAGACTTTACACCAAATTACCTCCGAAATTTTGACCTTTGACCAACCTCTTCTAATCCCTCACCCTCATTTTAGTTGTACTTTCAAAGAAAGAAAATCTCCCCTTTCTCTTCGCAGTCTATATCTCTAAACCAGACGAAAGAAGACGAACCACAACTACTAATCCAAGATACAGAGAGATACGCCAAAATCAAAAAGCCGAGAAACATCCCCGCAATCATACACCCTAATAACCTCACCCCAGCCGTGTGAAACTTCTGCTTCACCACTCATCCTCCAATACATGCTTTCATATTTAGAGTCTAGAACTACAAGGGGGGACAGAGAGAGAGATTCTGCTAAAAAATGGCTTAATACTCCTCCTCCGTACGAATCCCCCAAAACTTTAAATTTTTTTTTCAAACGTCTGAGGAATCATTGATTCACAAGAAGGCCCTTAACCTGCACTTGAAATGACCAGATCGCCCCTGAAGGGAGCGAATATTTACGATCTCGGGGCTGGAGCATCGAACGGCCTATGATGGATTGGCGCAGCTGCCCATGGGTTGATGGCGATGGGACGATGGTGGTGAGGACCAGCCATCGCCATCGGGTGGTGGGGAGCATCGACGGCGACTGTTGCCGTGGCCGCCGACGAAGACGACGAGACTGCGACGCGCTCGCATGAGGGACACATGGTGAGGGTGGTGGGTGGTGTCATGTGCATGTAGAACTGAGGGGACAGCTTGAGTGCCCTCAGTTCCTGCACCTCCTTCTGTAGCCTCCTATTTTCCTCAGTCAAGTTCTCGCAGCATCTCTTCAAGAATTCACAGTCCACCTCCGTCTGCTTCAACTTGGTCCTTGCCCTCCTGTTCTGGAACCACACCTCCACTTGTCGAGGTCGCAGGTTTAATTGCTTCGCCAACGCCAGCTTTTGCTTCTGACAATAAACAACCAAATCAACATTAGCTTGGAAATAATGAACAAAAATAATGTTCCGCCAAAGGAAACAGGGAATGACTTATGAATATCAGAGATACTTACGGGGTTCAGAGTGTTGTGTTCTTTGAAGCTCTCCTCGAGCACGGCAGACTGGTCCTTGGACAGTCTGAGCTTCTTTCGAGACATGTCACCGTCCTCTTCATCGCTTATTCCACGAGAGCAAGCTCTCTCGATCTCGTGCTCTTCTCCATTTGTGTCTCTTTCGCTCCGCTTTCCACTGACGCTTGATATTGTGCTGTTTGGGGAGGAAACTGCTGCTTCTTCTTCACAGTCTACAGTTGATGGCATGCGGTTCACATCGATCCCTCTTAGGAACGTTCTTGTCTCGCCTCTGAACATATCTGAGTTTCTGTCTGTAATGCAGAATGAGCCAAGGTTAGGAAAATGAAGATACTAGATCTGCATGTTAGATTGAAGTTAAGAGATGGTCGGGATTAATGTACGAATTGATTGGGAAACACGATACATCGAGAGGATCTTAAAGATCGAGGGCATTGAGGACAAAGATATACTAAGTGAAGGGAAAAAGAGATTGAGATACTTAGCAAAGCTTCGGTCCATGAACAGAAAAGAGTAAATCATCAGATTTGTTCATATATCAGCAAAAGAATTGGAAAAGCGGAAAAGAGAAAGGAAAAAAGGGGGAAAAAAAGAAAACACAATTTCTTCCGTGAAAAGAATCGGAAAAGCGTGAAAGGAGAAAGGAAAAAAGAAGACGAGATTTCTTCATCAGATCTAGAAGTAGATCAGATCAAGCATTCTCGATAACAAGCAGGAATCCTAACGCGAAACAATCTCAAAATACCTGACGAAGCGAAGGCCTCATTCCAAGTGTTCTTCTGAGCCACGAAAGGCGAAGCAGGAGACGACGAGACCGACGAAGGCATGAGATTCAACTGCAACGAATGGCGACTGTCCGCGGTGCTCAGGCTCAGACTCAGCCCCAGATCCTCCTTCTCAACCATCATTTTCGCTATCCCTTCCCTTCCCGATCGACCTACTTTACTTTCTCCGGCTCTTCTAATCTCTTTTCCTTGCTTCAAATCGAATCCGGAACTCTCCAAGGGTTAGGTCCTTCGCCTTTTTAGGGTTTGATGCAATCTCTCAATCTCAGAAAGCAGAGTGGAGGAGGAGAAGAAAACAATGGCAATTTTCGAACGCTTTCAGCTTTACAGTACAGTGAGGGGGAAGAAGTCTTTATATAGGGCAAGTGTTGTTCAATCATGATTTGTGTCAGGGCGCCAATTATCTCAATCATGACTCTCTAACCTAACCTAACCCTCTAACTCAACCATGGTTCCCACGCTTCTTCCTTCCTTCGTATATTGTAACTCCCAACGCTTTAACCACGCTTCTCTTAACTCCTCATGTTGACCGTTGACTATTACCCGATATTTCCCAATTACTCCCGAGAAATTGAACTAATTACGAGTTTGTTGGGCTTCGTCAGTTACGCTGAAGGAAGATAAGTTCCGCATTTAAAGTTTCGGGGAACCGAAACTCGTTTGTTTCCGAAACTGCCCTTACGTTTCGCCTCTTTCGGAACTTAAATGGCTTTTAATGGTACGCGGATGTTTAGCATTTCAAGGTCATTTGCATCGAAAGAGACTGGAGAATTTAAATGACGAAAGTGACCTCAGAAGGTACGAGATTTATTGCTATCTAGTTTTGGGATTTAGAAGAAAGTTGAGGGGTAATGTCGTCGAATACAGTGACATTGGCGAAAGGGGGGGGAATGGGGTAGGGGGAGTGGAAGGAAAGAGGGGACAAGGGAGAGTGGGAGTCACGTGGGGAGAGAGATGAGGGAAACCTGGATGAACTCACGTGGACCAACATGTCCTGCTAGGACACGTGCCTACAGGATATCGAGAAATGTGACATGTGGGCCCTCACAAGCAACCACCAGCCGTGCGTGTCATCTTGTTCCTCAATGCCCCGACACCCACTCCTCACAATCATTGGACTCCCATCCCCCTCCCTCCCTCTCTCATCCCCAACTCAACCCTGTTTCTTCTCACTTCCTCTCCACTCCAGGTTTTCATGCAACCGGTCTCCTCTCCCTAAATTACATTAACGCCCCTCCCTCTCTCTCATTCAATGACCGAGATACCCCCATATGGCTCTAATGATTCCTCTCTAGTTAGAAATTATAAATTAATAATATAATATATTATTAGGACCGCAAACGGATCGGATCTGATTCAATAATGGTGTATCCGATGGATTCGATAAGAAATATGACTGATTTGAATCTGATAAAAATTCTTAGGATTTTCAAAGCGTATGATTGGAATTCAAATTATAATATCTTATCGGATATTTGATTCGAATTTCGTTCTATTTAAATTGAAATCTAAAAACTTGATGATATACTGTAAATAATATATTATATTATTCATATAATATATAATATATTTCATAATTAATGGATCGATTCGAATTCGATCCATTAACTAAACGGAGCAACTTTTCCTATATGATCCGATTTGTTAGTACTAAGGGAGATGTCTAAATCCTGCTTACCAAATTGGATTCAGATTGGAATTGGATTTCATCCAATTCATTTGCAGCGTTAAGAAAATAAGATGGTTAATGTGGACTATAATTGATAACGAATCCCTTGAATTAGGGGTGTCAATTGGACTGGATTTGGTCAAATCCGATCGTGAATTCATTATAAATGGATCAGGTCCAATTTCAATCCAATGAATGTTTTAGATTAATTTGGACCGGTTCAATTCAATGTCTGGACCCTCTAATCTATTCAAATTCGTTTTGATATAGATTGGTTTCAACCCTAATCCGGATCCATTGACACATATATTCTTATCTTATATCAATGAACCATGTATTATGTATTAGTTTAATCTAATCCAATTTAATATAAATTTGTTACGGACATATCAGGTCCAATCCAATCTAATAAATATTTTAGACTGGATTGATCCAATTCAATATGTCTTGTTGGTCCAACCAATCCATCCAAATTGATTTTCTGATCCATTGACACCTTTACCTTGAATTGATAAAATAAAGTGAAAAATCCCTAAACTTCTAATGCTTTTTGATAAATACTAAAACATTTTCTTAACTTTTTGTTTGCGGTGTAAATTTCATTTGCTGAGTGTTCTACCAAAAAAAGGTATATTATCTAAAATTCATTATATCTTTTTCGCATTCTAGGCCGATTGTAAATTCTAATTCAACTTTGCTGTTACATTTGTTTATGAGGAAAAAAATGATTTGGTCCACATTTCATCCGAAAGAGAATGGAGGTAGGAATTATTTGATTGTAACAAGGTAGGAAGTAAGACATTGTGATTATATGAGAGACAATTGAGGTAGGAAAAAAGTGATGTAAATTTTACATAAGTTTTTGGAATGCAAAATTTGCATTCCTAATGAACAAAAGGCTCAGTTCGGAACTAAGTATAAATGCAAATATATAGATTACAAAACATTGTATTTTATATGTATTTATACTGCACATATATTATATTTGTACTCCTTCCAAACTGAATCCAAATGATACAAAAAAAATTGCAAATTTTGTATTAAATAGAAGTACAAATCATAATTATAAGCAAACAAACATGTGTGAAATTTATATTAGGTTCTGATTCGTACTGCAAACGAATAGAGCCAAAAGGACATTAATTACAGGATTAAAAAACCATTACTTATTTATTCTGCCACATGACCATATATAACATTAATGTTTCTTAAATTCCCAATAGAATTCCTATTTAATTCGACTTTAAATTAAATAGACCAAAATGCCCACTTTGACTGATCTTTGATGCTTGTAAACATCTATAAAATTCCTTTAGAATTTTCTCCCAACTTTCTATTTCTCTTAATTTTATTGTCAAATCAAAAAGCAGCAGCCTACAGAATATGCAATAATTTCCTTTCTTTCTTTGGTAGAAGATCTGCCTTCTTCTCGAGTCAAAGGAAAATTAGAGTGTCTTAAAGGTGCATCAGCATTTATTGTTCAATGTGGCTAGTAGATTAACCATGTGGCTAACAAATTGATAAATGAGTTTAATGATTAGGATATTTGAGGGTAATTTAGTATTTTTATTAAAAACTTTATTGGGGGTTTAAGGATTCTTTTTTTCTAAAATAAATTCACAACGTTATAAATTAATGTGGCACAAATTACACCTCCCACTCCAATATCTTTTTGTTGATGTCGCAATTGTTTATGCTTTAAAAACAAAAGTCATACGTACCCAACCCGGATATATGATAGACTTGGCAATTGGGTTGGATAGGTCGGATTTGGGTTGGGTTATCAAATGCTAGAGCCTAATCATAAATGTTTGGATTAAGGTTGGCCTATGGGCCAATTCGGGTCATCCCAAAAAATAACTGAAATTTAAAAAAATAAAGAAAACTACATGAAAAATGCCAAAATGAAAGGAATTAACCTTAAAATTCTAAATATAAAATAAAAAAATTTTAAACTTTTAACAATTTAAAAAGTAAACAATAAAAAGAAAAAATTAAAGAGTGGAAACTTCTAACAATGCATAAATAGTCCTAATTAGACTTGACAATCGGATTAACAGGTTGACCCATGACTCAATCTAACCGATTTTTTAGGTCCGGTCATTCTCACGTTCAAATAACTGAATATAACACTCTAACCCTATCTTTTCGGGTTAGATTTCACGGATTAGATCAACTTTTTGCCTGGACTAGCATATGATATTTCTAAACGTTATATTTGCACACATTCCCCGTACAAAAACGGGTCAAGACCAGAATAGATCTCAAGTCTCCACTACAACCAGTCATGAACCTTACCAACTCAGCCAATTGGCACCTTGATGCTTAATTTCTGCTTAACCTTTGTTAATTAGGAGGGATGTGCCATTAATCATTGTACATGATTTCATCTTAATATAATGTTTTATTTTAGCAAAACTTGGGTTTATGATTAGATACTTTCTCATTATAAGTGTTAAAAACAATTCTTCCCTAATAATTACTTGACATTATATAATAACATGAAATAATAATAATGCTGTTTCTTTTTAATACAAACAGGGCTGGCATTATTATTTCATGTTATTATTTAGCAAGAAAGCGGTAGGGGTAATTTCGTCAAATGAATAATTAGAGAAATCCAAGTTGGGGATTGGTTTGGGATATAAAATCCGGCAGGCTGTCGGATCATAATTAAGTGGCCCCACAGGTGCGTGCTAGCTGTCCCACGTGTCCCCCCAATTATAGATCCCCTCGCTATCCGACAACCCCTATCATAGCCTCCTCCTTGGCTCCTTCCCCCGGCCTCCCATTCGCCCGTACGTGACTACGACCCTCATCTCCCCCCATGTGATTTTCACGTGATTTTGGCCCCTCCCTCCTTCCACTGCATTTACTCAACTGCCCCTTCTCCCATAGCAAGCAATCATTTGCCAATGGATTACAATTTTCAAATCTTTACGCTGGGCCCACCTGCAAAAGTGACGTCCATCCATCACGGCCCATTAATAACCATCTCCGCATTTGGACTGATTACAGGATATCAACCCTTGGATCAAAAAACCTAGAAAGTCCTTTCCACCAACCCATTTACAGCAAGACAAGGGTTAATATGGTCATTTCGAACTCCCCCCGCCCACTTGCAGTTGCAGACTGTTGCAGACTTGCTCCTCTATTATTACCCGATTCATGTGAATCCTACGTGGGATACCAGGTAGACACGGCCGACGACAGCGAGGCGAACGTGTACTCTCGGTATCCGCACGTGCACATGCGGTCAAAGTTACCTTGTTTTCTGCTTGATCTAGTCAACGGTCAGATGCACTAAATCATTTGCTTGATTTGTTTAACTTCTTTTCGGTATTCGGTGCTTCTTCTCGCCTTCTTTTCCGGTGGAGTCGGTGAGGGCAATCCGACGACCCGGCACCCGCTTACGTGTCCGCACATTCGTACGATCCACACCGCACCGTCCGATGCAAATACCTCTCCTATACAGAACCGTTGATTACAGGAAACCTCTCCCACCTCACGTGCACATGCGGGAATACCAAGAGAAAAGATTTTTTTTCTTTTTTAAATCCGTGTTTACTGTCGACTGCACGTGCGGGCGCAATCTACCTTTGTTACGAATATTCGTACTTCCCGGGGAGTGGGTGGGGCTCCCGCACTGGGTCATGTGACGGGGTGAGC